TTAAAAAATTAGTCATTAGATAGTACATTACTAAATAATGTTGTTTTTAAATGAAAAACAAATCTAAATAAAGTTATGGCATGACTGCTGAATTAAAAAAAAAAATATATATTATCTTTATATTGTTAAATTAGATATATTTTAGTTAAGCTTTATCAGATATAATAAGATATTAGTTATTAAAGCATAAGTAACAACTAAAATAAATAGTCTAAAAAAAGAGTAATTTAATATGATAGTTAGCAAGATATACAAAATATTTCATAATAATGAAAATATACTACAATTATATATAGAACTACTATATAATTTGATCAGACAATTTAATTCTAAAACTTTATTCATACTAGTGATGATAAATGACTTGAAATAACTCAAATAACTTAAATAATTATTTATTAATCATTTCAAAATATAAATAACCTAAGAAGGTTATTTAACTTCTGTTAATTAATAATCTAATACTGTTTAGCCAATCAAAATTGATTATTAAACAAAATTAATTTTTATAAAATATAACCAATAATAGTAGCTACATATAAAAATCAAAAACTTACTAAGCTAATTAATAATTTTTTTCTTAAGTAACATTGTTCAGAAGAACAAATTGCATATAATTTAAAATTTTATATAATTTTAATGACTTTTATTAAGTCATTTTTATGTTTTATATTTTATATTTATATAAAAAAATTTAAATTTTTTTATGTAAACATAAAATATAAAAATGACTTGATAAAAGCTATTAAAATTATACAAAATTTCAAATTATATGCAATTTATTCTCTTGAACAACTTTACTTAAGATGAAATTATCAGTTAGCTCAGTAAATTTTTGATTTTTTTATATGTAGTTATAATTATTAATAGTGAAATAATATTATTTGATAATTTTTTATATTAGATATCTGATTAATAAAATTACTTCATATATAAATAATCTAAATGACCTAATAATACAAATAATCTAATAACACAAATGACTTGGTCATTATTTGATAACTAGAGATCATTTAAATTTTGATCAAATAACTAGGTTATTTACTATCTCTGATTCTATGTAATACCTAAAATAAACTATATTTTATTTTACATTATTAATTAGAGTTTTAAGTGCTAGGTAACTCTCACTTCGAGTCACAACATTTAGACTCTTTAGTAGCTTCTTTTATATTTAAATTCATTGTTATCTATTTGTTCTCTATCTGTATTATTTAGCAACCACTATTGGTTTATTGGTATATACTCTATTTAAATTGATAGTATATGAGTAGTGTAGGGTCAGTTAATAAGTTTTTAGTTGATAAATTCCATATATAATTTTGTACTTTTGTTACAAATAGGAGTATTAACGTGTTATAATCATGACTGTGATTGATATCAGTCTGATAACAAATTTTGACAGACTGTACTAATTATTATTGATACTGCAAATCACATATTTATTGCTATAAACTTCTGATATGCCTAATGTTCGTCTCTGAAAGTATTACCTATAGGCTACAAAAAAAACTAATTTTGACCAACTATTAGCATCTCTAATTATAGGATAAAGAATTAAATAAAGAAACTATTTCATGTCAAAATCTTATAAGACATAGAATTTTACATTTTTATCTTGACTTGTTAGCATATGTAACAGTAAATTTGGTATATGAAGAAATATTTAAACAAGTAACTGATTCAGGATTTTTTTGGCTTAGCTGAAAGGTTATCCTCAAAACCAATTTCACATTATTAAACCTTTACCAAATTAGAACTTTTGTAGTTTTTGGTTTAATCAGTATTCTTTTAGTAAATTTCAGATTCTTACTATATTTTAAGTAATATTTAAAAATAACTAATTTTAATAATTTTTATTTGAATTCTACAGATCTATAGAATTCAAATAAAAAATTTTATTAAAATTAACTAGATAATTGTAAAAATATCTTTGATTAAAATTTCAAATTTGTTAAAAGTTTAAAAAGGCTTAAAAATTTTTTGAAGTTCAAATATTAAGCTCAAAATCAAATCAAAACTCAAATCAACCAAATCAAATATTTAAAATTTGAAATTGGTTTAGGACCTTTTCTTTATTCCTTGATTTTTGTAATAATTTCAAAAAGAAATGTATAAGATTCTTTTTTACTATAAAGAAGGTTATATAATCAAAGAACCTCATAGAAATACATAGCAAGATTTGCATATCGCAGAAGCTCTATGTCTGAACGTTCTTATTCCCCACGATCACATCCCCCCAAAGCGTAGCACTCTCGTTAATATTTCACAAGTGTAAGAGCACTAACTTTTAATAGGTGATTGATGAAAAGGCTTTCTTTTCTTCTTTTGCTTGTGGATCTAGACCTAAGTTGTTTAATGCACATTAATAAAATATTTCTGAGTAATAGCTTTCCCAAGGATTTATGCGCCCAGAACTTTGGATGTCTAACCTTTTTTAGAATATAGTCCAACAATATCGATATAGTTGAACATAATTAAATGTCTTAGGCAATATCGATTAAAGAAGAAATTTCTTATCGTTGAGACTTGAATTGCTGAGTTTAAATGAATTTCTAACAATTTTTTAATACTCAATTTGCAACAAGCTGAATTTAACGCTCGTGTGTTATTGTATTACATTGATGACCAATTGAATGAACATCCAATCAATTTAATAATACCCAATCGAATTAATGTAACGTCAGCTGATATAAAAGGTAACCGTTTTTACAGGGGATATTAGCCAACCTCTGTCTTACGCTCTAGAATACAAATGAATAATATTAGTGAAGGTGTCACGGCTACTGGCCTTACTCGAGAGAACTTACAAGCTATATTTGCTGTGAGTATTATAGTCACAAAAGATATTCATATCAGTTGTTTTAAACCTTTTATTACCGATTGTGGCTTTGATTTTGAATCGACATTTTTGCCACTTTCATCAAAAAACAAAGAACTTAGTTAACCTTAAGATGTACAAGAACAAAGTCACTAAGAAACTTTTATTGCTTTTAGAACGTTCAAGCTATGCAAGCCCGTGGTGAATCTAATAGTCCTGAATATGCCCATAGCATAAATCTGTTGCGAGCTCATCAACAGCATCAACAGCAACAGCAACAACAGCAACAACAGCAACAACAACAACAACAACAACAACAGCATGCTTCAAGTAGTGAAGTCAGATCTGCTTCAACAACTGCTTTGACAACACAAACGCCATTATCTCAAGAACAACTTTCAGCCTTGAAATATCAGATATTGGCCTTTAAACTAATATCTCATAATTTAGAAGTCCCAGCACCCTTACAACAAGCAATGTTCTCTCCTGGACAATCTCAGGGTTTATCTACTCAAGATTTGTTGGCGGGGACTCCTTTAGCTGGAAAAATTGTTGAAGCATCATATAATCATCATTCACGGGCATCACCTGGTCCAACAACAGAGGCAGTATCTTCCACTCAAGCATCAGCATCAAGTTCAACACCCGCTTATAACTCTTATACAAATCCTTTAACTTATATAAAACCAGTCAATACTTATTCACATGCATCCCGTCAACAAAGAATGTTAATACCAGCAATAATGCCAATTGGTTTAGATCCAAATGAAATAGCAGCAGAACGTGAACGTCAATTAAAGGCTCGTGCTCAGCAAAGGATCCACGAACTTGAATATATAATTGAAGGAGGATTTTATCAAAATCCTAGTGAAAAAATGAAAATATTAATTAAATTGAAAGCATTGAAAGTATTACCAATGCAAACAAAGGCAAGTCAACCATGGGTCTCAAAGAATTAATTCACTTAATTTAGAAAAAAAAAAAAAATATATATATTTATATATTATTCGATTAATTATAGTTACGTCAAGAAGTTATTAAAGGTGTGTCAAAATCTACAACATTGGTTACATCTACAAATCGTACTAGCTATAAAAGGATGAAAAAACCGTCGATGCGTGATGCTAGAATTACAGATAGACTTGAAAAACAACAACGTGAAGATAGACAACGTCGTAAAAAGCAAACACATTTAGATTTAATGCAGAGTTATTGTATCCATGGACGTGATATGATTCTATGGCATCGTTCAAGTCAACAGAAGCAACTTAAATTTGGTCGTGCAGTTGTAAGTTTCCATTCGCAAGTTGAAAAGGAAGAACAGAAGAGATTGGAACGCTTATCTAAAGAACGTTTAAGAGCTCTGAAAAATGATGATGAAGAGGCTTACTTGAAACTCATTGATAAAGTTAAGGATACAAGAATTACACATCTATTAAAACAAACGGATCAATACCTAGATTCTTTAGCCCAAGCTGTTGTCGCACAACAACGCGATGACTTGCACAATGATCCTACTGTAAGGGGTGGCATTGAATTGATGGATGAAGATGATGACATGGTTGAGGACGAAAATATAACAATTGTGGTACGATAAAAGAGAAAATTATTATCGGTTATACACTTAGTTTATGCACTAACTTGCTTATTTAAATTATCGATATAGAATGGGAAAAAGGTTGATTATTACGCTGTTGCTCATAGAATCAAAGAAGAAGTTGAACAACCATCTATGATGATTGGCGGAAGTTTGAAAGATTACCAGGTAAATTTAAAACAAATATTATAATAAATGTGTTAAAATTGCATGAAATTATGATTAACATTAATAATAAACATGATAATAAGGTCAAAGGATTGCAATGGATGGTATCATTGTATAACAACCGATTGAACGGCATCCTTGCCGATGAAATGGGTCTCGGTAAAACAATTCAAACCATATCTTTGATTACATACTTAATAGAAAGAAAAAGGCAAAATGGCCCATTTTTGATTGTAGTACCATTATCGTAAGTTGAAATTTTAATTATTTATTTTACTACTTTTATTATTATTTACAATTTAATCGTTATGAAAAAAAAAATTTTTTTTTTTTACAATAGTACATTAACAAATTGGACGATTGAGTTCGATAAGTGGGCCCCGGCTGTAAGAAAATGTGTCTACAAGGGTGCACCTAATACGCGTAAAGAACTTCAACAACAGTTTATTAAACATGTTGATTTTCAAGTTCTTCTAACAACATACGAATATATCATAAAAGACAAATCTATATTAAGTAAATTACGATGGGTATATGTAATTATTGATGAAGGTCACCGTATGAAAAATACAAAGTCGAAATTATCCCTAATATTAACAAACAATTATCAATGTCGTTATCGGTTAATTCTTACGGGAACTCCATTACAAGTATTTATTATTTCTAATAATATTCATTACTTTTATTCTACTTTCATGTACTTAAATTATGACTTTACAATTATTACACAGAATAACCTACCAGAGTTATGGTCGTTGTTGAATTTTATTTTACCGAGGATCTTTGATTCCGTAAAAAGTTTTGACGAATGGTTCAATACACCATTTGCAAATGCCGCGGGGCAAGATAAAATAGCACTTAACGAAGAAGAATCATTACTTATTATTCGACGTTTACATAAGGTTTGTACTTGTTACATGATGTATCTCAAGAGATAGATTAGTCATGGCAGAAAATTTTTCAGAACAAAAGTTCCGAGATGAAATTTAGATTTGCCTTTAAAAAATTTTTAAAAGCGAATTATATAAGAAACTTATACTTGGTTATAAAAATTTTTGCCATGCTAATCTACCTTACATCAAGTTACAAAAACCAAATTATTGTTAAAATTATGTAAATACCTTATAGGTTCTGAGACCGTTCTTATTGCGTAGATTGAAGAAAGATGTTGAATCAGAATTACCTGATAAAGTAGAGACGGTAATTAAATGCAGGCTTTCAGCGCTACAATTAAAGCTTTACAGTCAAATGAAAAGACATGGTGTATTGTTTGTTAATACTGGAGAAAAAGGGTATTTTATTATTATTGCTTATTTAATGGATTATATATTAGAATAATTTGTCTAAATATCATATAAAATTGTTAATTAATTTTATTGTTTTACAGGAAAACTGGGATTAAAGGTCTCAACAATACTATCATGCAATTGAGAAAGATTTGTAATCATCCCTTTGTTTTTGAAGAAGTTGAAAAAGATATAAATCCGGGAAACACCAATAGTTCTTTATTATATCGAGTATCTGGAAAATTTGAACTATTAGATCGTATACTGCCAAAACTTTTTGCCACAAGACACAGAGTAGGTATTATTTTATTATTTTACGTAATTATAATTATTAAATTATTCGCTTAAAATATGTGACGGTTATTAACATTTTAAAAATAATTATTTATTATGTTTATATTAGGTCTTGATTTTTTTTCAAATGACAGCTATCATGACTATTATGGAAGATTTTCTTAATTGGCGTGGATTTAAATATCTAAGACTGGATGGTAACACTAAGGTATTTATTATGCGATCAAAAGGTATTTATATAAATTACTAACAGATTTATTATGATTATTAAAGGCGGAAAGCCGATCAGATTTGTTGAAAGCCTTTAATGCCCCGGATTCTCCTTATTTTGTATTTTTACTTAGTACTCGAGCTGGTGGGTTGGGTCTTAATTTACAGACAGCTGATACCGTAATTATATTCGACTCTGACTGGTAAATATAAACTTTTATTATATGTTATATGACATAATCCGAGATTAAATTAGTATTTAATTTTAAATCAGGAATCCACACCAGGATTTGCAAGCACAAGATCGTGCACATCGTATAGGTCAAACTAGAGAAGTCCGTATATTACGGTTGATCTCACAAAAGTCTATTGAAGAGACCATTTTGGCTAGAGCTCAGTACAAATTAGACATTGATGGTAAAGTTATTCAAGCCGGTAAATTTGATAACAAGAGTACAGAAAATGAACGTGAAGAACTTTTGGTATTTGTAATTTATATATATATATATATTTATTGATTTTTTTCAATATACACTTACACCTTGAAAATGTATACTTCAACACATAGCGTTTGATTTTTGAAGTGGATAATGACGAAATAAATGACGTAGAAGATGATGATGAATTAGATGATGAAGAGTTAAATGAGCTTATAGCTAGTAATGATGACGAACTCAACCAATTTAAACAAATGGATCAGGAGAGGGCACAAAGAGAAGAGATTGAATGGAAAAAATCTGGCGGTAAAGGAAAACGGCCAGATAGATTAATAGAAGAAAGTGAATTGCCACCTGTATATATAAAAGAATATGATACAATTGTGCGTCAAGAAGATCCAGGCGTAGAATATGGTCGAGGACAAAGACCGAGAGGGTCCGTTCATTATGATGATGGGTTAACTGAAGAACAATGGGTTAATGTAAGAAAAATAGATATTTATTTAATGTTCAATATGTATATAAAATTTTCTCAAGTTTTTTTTTCATATATGGTTTATAGGCTATCGAAGATGAAGATATTGATGTCGAAGATTTAATTGCTAAGAAGCAAGCAGCTAAGAAGCGACGTTTTGCTAAAAAATCACAAAAAATACACACACCAACACATCCAGATATATCACATAATTCAACACCACATCCAGATGAATCCAGCGCTGATGCATCTGAATCTAAAAAGAAACGTGGGCGACCACGAAAAGATGAAATGCCTAGTGTTGATGATAATAATGCGCACGACATACAATCTAAGCAATCTAAAAAAAAAGGAAAGGGGAAACGAATTGAAATGAGCGATTTTGAAACATTCGATCAACCAAAAATGGTAATTTAATTTGTTGTAATGAATGAATAATATTTTTAGTAATAATTATTAAATAACCTATTTTATTTGTGAATTTTTTAGAAAAAGCGAAAACAACTGTCTAAAAAAATTCATGAACAACAAACATCATCAGATACATTATCCCCTCATACTCGAGATCGGATGAGACGTATTTTCAATAGGTGTTACTCTGCGGTTGAGAACTTAATGGATGATACAGAAGGGTTTGATATTTACATTTAAATTATTTCATTTAGATTTCAATATCAATTCATGAATTTAACGATCTTTTTAATTTTATAGAGAGCCTCCTCGACAACGAGCATATCTTTTCCTTACCCTTCCTAGTAAGAAGGAATACGATTATTATTATACAGTCATTAAAAATCCAATTGCAATGGATACAATAAAACGTAGAATCAAGACTAGTTATTATCAATCAGCGGCCCAATTTCGGGACGATTGGCATTTAATGTTTAATAATGCAAGAACATTTAATGAAGAAGCATCAACAGTATATAATGATGCGGAAAAAATGCAAGTAAGTAAATTTATACTTTATAAGATTTTTTTTATTTTATTTTTTTTATTAAAATATTGTTTCTAAATTTTTAGGAGGCCTTTGATAGAACATTTAATGAGCTCTGTCCAGGAGGCCAAATTCCCGCATCAGGAGATGAAATGGATATTTAGTATATATATAGAAGTCACTTTTTTTTGCATAAACTTTTTGGTTATTTCGAGTAAACAATAATTTTTTAATGCCATAAATTTTCATATAAAAGACTTATTGCAATAATATACAGTAATAAATTTGATTATATTAACTGTAAGCAATATGCAAATAAGAAATGTAAATTAAATATTAAAACAGTTTAACTTATAAGTTCATTTTTTTAGCATTGACTCGTACAATTTTTTTTTTGAAAGAAATAAAAGAAATATATTAAAATATAAAAGCAATTACCAGTTACCATATTAGGGTGGACTCGCAATTGTTTTGATAATCATTATATAAATCACGTATTTATTTATTTATTCGCATTTTTTTTTTTTTTATTGTCGATCATCTCTTTTCATTTCATAAATTCATTAAACATGGAAGATATAGAAGACGTCGAGTTTGTTAGTACAAGAACGCCTGAACAACCTACTGGTAAATGTTTAAAAGCGAAAATTTATAGATAAAATAACGGTAAATCGATACTAATTTTAATTCGGAAAAATTAATTAATTAAAAAGAATTAGCAAAAAGTTCATCAGTTCTTGCACCTTCAGCAAAATTCGATAACCTTGAAAATACTATTAAAGTTTTATTAAGTCATGTTTATTTTGGAAGTTCAACAAAAGAAAAATGTATGATGGCAAAAACTTTTACAGATATGGGACTTTTATTTAGACCATCATCTCGTCAAGTCTCTATCTGTTTTCGTAGGATGAGAGATGAAGTTGTAATTCCATTTAGTGAAGTACTTAATTGTGAACTTCATAGTGAGAGAGAATTAGTAGTAAAATTAAAAACAGGATTTACTAGAGCGGTAATATAAATCTTTTATATATATAATTTTTGAAGTTAATATAATAAAAAATTAAATTAAATTAAATTTTTAAATATTTTGATTATTATCCCATTTTTATTTTTATTTTTTTAGTATTATTCACATCCTGATGCATTTCCATACAAAAAAGAACCAGTTCTAATGAATAATGATCCAACAAATGGGGATTTTTCGAGAGTTAGTTCATTACTTATAAGATCATATCACGCAACGGATTTTGATTTTCTTTCAGAACATGGGTTTAATATAAAAAGTGAAAATTTTAATAAGAAAAAAACAAATGAAGTTAATGGAGAATATCCGATAGTAAATATTAATTATTTCATATACGGTAAATTATTACAATATTTTTTTTTAAAAAAAAAAAAAATTTTTTTTTTTTTTTTCTTTCATTATGAAGGCGTCAACATCTTCATCCAATGATAAGAACTCAACATCTTTATCAAATGATAAAAAATCGACATCATCATTCAATGATAAAAAATCGACAATACAACAACCATCTGAAGATAATTCGATAAAGGCATCATCATCATCTCAACAAGGAACTTCACCCAAAGTAATGATGGATTACGTCACAGTTACTCAAAAAATAGTTAGTAAAACAAAGACAGTTACCAAAAGTTTTGGATCACGACAAGATTCTAATGATCAACAAAATAGGCTTAATAATTATACATCACAACGATCACAACCTTTACAATATTCATTAAGATCACCATCATCTTCAACATCTACTTTTAATTCATCACAAATTACATCACTTCCTAAATTTTCTACAATGACATCTTCAACGTTAAATTCGAGAAATAATATTTCTTGATAATTTTGCGATCCTCCAA